GGCCGGATTGGTTCGATGCACATGGGCGACCCTTTTCCACAACTCCACCGACCACCCTCGTTTTCTTCGGCGCAGAAACTTAGCCGAGTCGGAGGCTTTCCAGACTTGAACAGTTCTTTTCAACTAGCTTGGTTTGTGTCTGTAGGCACACGTAGGCGCCAGTGGAACCAAGTCTATTTAAGCTGTTGACCAAGGTTGCGGTCCACATCCACTGTCCCCTCCTCGAAACTCATCTCCTCACCCACCACCCTCCATCTCCACTTCCACTTCCACCATGTGCAACCTCTGTCCCGAAGACAATGCCGGATTCGACCCGGAATTCGAGCAGACGCTCAACATCCTGCTCGACACGTACACCTACGTTAACGACGGCCTGCCCACACCTGACGAGTCGCCGGTGGATGCGAGTGGACATGCCGATTCCTTCGAGTTTGGTCTTCCCGGGCCCAGCACCTCCCCGGCCATCACCACACCCACGCTCGACGGCTCATCGACCGACGCCGAGCTCTACCTTCCAGGGCCGAGTTCGTCGCCTAACACCGTCGGATTCAATGAGCCCCGGCTCCCGCTGGTCTTCGGTGCAGACCAACCAGCCGCCTTCAGCTTCGACTTTGAGCAAGAAGGACAGAATCCCGGCCCACAGGTGCCGGCCGTCCCCCAGGTTACCGACATCCCTGGGAGGCGCAGGGGGAATTTCGCAAGTCGCGTCCACCCCTCGGTAGGCGTCCCATCAAATTCTCACCTCAGTCATTGCTGACAGCCTGCGCCTTGGCACGCAGGAGCTTTTCCCTTGCTGCCGAGGTCTTAAGGACGAAAGCCTCCGCCGCCATTTCATGACGAGACGGCATAGAAGGATTGCGAATCTCCCCCCGCTCGAGGGAGAACGGTGCCCGCTCTGCGGGTTCGCATGGTGTGTGCTCCTCCAATTCTTGCGGGTGCTGGACGCCAATCTGATTTGCTGCATAGCCCAAGGTCGGACTCACTCTTCCGGCACATTGAGTCCCAGCACCCGGTGCGGGAACATGATAGGATCCCTGAAGAGTGGTTGGATGCGAATCCTGGGGCGAAGAGGGCTCTTGCACGGCTGAAGGCCGGTGAGGCGCCCCCCAGCAAGAAGCGCAAGATTTGAACGCCTCTCGCTCGTGTCAACTCTTTCTTCCCCCACCCGGGCACAAGGTAAGAGCCCTCCATATCCCCTGCGCGACGGCAGTCCTGATATACTGTGGCACAGGCTTATCAAAGAAATTTGAGTAGCGGCACCTCCTCGTCGGCCGCTCACCTTCTCCCCGGTATATGTATTTGTAGTGTTCCTTCTCTTGCTTCACCACGACGCCCGCGGGTCCGTTACCGCCTGAATGTCGCCATCATCTTGCTTCTGTTATCACGCACAGTACCATACCTCCACTGCCCAAGGCCCTAACATTGTCGACTGCTATCTGTAGCCCTAGCTGCCACTACCACCGGCACATCTTCTGATACCATCGTCTCCGGTTCCGTTGCAATCATTTGTATTATAGCGTCTGTGTTGCCGATCTACCTATCTTAGTAGAATCGAATGGACGACTCCGAGTTGTCCTTGCCCCGCGTCGAATCAGCGCCTGGTCTGTACCGTGCCTTCGATCCAATCTATGCGCGATAAGATAAGACGTGAGCGCTACCACCCGCCTAGCGCGTTGCAGCCGCCCGTGCGCGCGCAGGTGTACGTGTGGAGCGCGGGCGCGGCGCGGCTGGAGGATGCGCTGTGGGGACTTTGTGCGGGAGAGCGCTTGGAAGTGGATTGACGACACCGCACAGGAGAACGAAGAGTTTGTGAAGGTCGACTGCGGGAGCGGGCGCCGCGTGATGAGGGAGTCGAGTCATGGTGTCACAATTTCCTTTTTGTATCCGAGTACACCGATCCGCAACTTAGAGCCAACGACAACAACGGCGACGACAACGACAACGACACTTAGAACTCGCCAAACTTGACGTGCCCCGTCTCCGCCGCATGCGCACGCGCCTCTTTCTCCCCCTTCAGCCCCTTCCCGCACTCCTGTCCACACCCGCGTCAGGACAAACCCCGCCCACACACACACCAACATGCCACGCACCTCGCATTTGAGCTCAAACGTCGCCGTGTTCGTGTACGCCCGCTTCGCGCGCAGCGCGCTCGCGAGCGCCTGCAGCGCCTGGAGCACGCGCGCGCCCTCCGCGCCGTCGGCGGGCACGACGCTCGCGCAGAACTCGGGCGGCGCACCCGGCGCGGGCGCAAGCACCGCCGCGTCGTAGTGGATCCCCGAGTACACGAGCAGGCCGCGCGTGCGCCCCGCGCCGAAGCGGTCGACGCGCCCCGTCTCGACGTCGATGCTCGCGATCTCCGCGCCGTAGTGCGCGGCGAGGATGGTGAGCTCGATCGCGCCGCCCCACGAGTTTGGCGAGAGGATCGTGCGGATGTAGTCGTCGCGCGGGCGGCTGCGGGCGGTTCCGGTCAGTGCTCGGTGCTTCCTGGGTTCGTGGTAAGCCGGGGAAGGCGCACCCCAGGATGGCGTCGCTCCACGTCTCGGGGTCCTTCCGGATCGCCTCGGCGACGACTGCGAAGCACGATCAGCACCACATCTGGCAGACCACATGCAGCAAGGGCGACGCACCCTGCCTTACCGCCGGCGCACGGCGGATGTCCTGCTCAAACACGAGCGCGACCGACGCGAACAGGCACGAGTTGTCGTCCGGCACAACCTGCGCATCCCCAAATCACCCGTATCAGCGCCCCGTTCCCGCGACCGTGTCCGCGCACGCACACGATGCACGAGGTACCCGCCCTCCGTCCGGACGTGCTCCGGCTCGCCGGGGCTGCTCCGCGCGGGCGCAGGCGCGGGCGGCGGGACCGACGCGGGCGGGTTGACGATCGCCGCGCGAGGGTTGGCCGGAAGCGGCGGCGCAGTGGGGCGCGTGTGCACGCTCGTGCTCGGAGCGGCCTTCTGCGTGACGATGAGCTGCTCGCCCGGGGCGAGGCCGAGGCTCGCGAGCGGGAGCTCGGGGACGACAGCGGTCAGCGCGCGCGGGGGGTAGCCTGCCTTCACTGCGGATGGGCGTGAGTGGAACGGTGGGCGGGTGAGTGGGAGGGCGGGGCGGCGCACGATCTTGTGCCGAGGGCGCGATCTCGGAGGTGGAGAAGATGGCTTGAAGCAGGTCTTGCACTGTTGCGTTCTCTGGGTCGAGCTGGAGGGTCGAGACGCCCTTTGGGTGGCGGAGGCGCAGCGGGGCCATTGCGGGCGCAGATGAGGGCAAGTGGAAGAGAGAGTTATCGCGAACGGCGTCGCCGCTGAGGCGAGCAAGAGCGGCTCGCGTCATCGCGCGCCCCGGCCCGGACACACGACACAGCGCACGGGACACAACTCGTTCAATATGCGATTGCAACTGAAAACACGACTTAGCAAACAAATGGAAAACGAGACGTGAAAGTGTAGATGGTGGTCCTCAAGTCTGCTCAGCTGCGCCCTCTCCAGCCCCAGCCTCAACCTCTTCCTCCTCTTCCTCCGCGTCTCCGACATCGCCGTCCCCAACCACAAACCCCAGCTGCACATCCCCGTCCGCATCGCGCACCCGGACGACCCTCATCCGCGGCGCGTACAGCGCGACATACCCCACCGCGCCCAGCAGCGCAAGCCCCGCCCAGTGCCACCGCGCGCGCGCGTACCGGCGCTCCTCCGCGCTCGTCTCTGCGCCGCAGCGCGCCCACCACGCCCGCACGCTCGGGTATGGCAGCAGTGCGCTGAGGCTGTAGCCCGGCGTGGGAAGGGTAGGTGTGCGTGGCGCCGCGGCGGCGAGCACGCGCCGCGCGTGCGCGAGGAGCGTCGGGTGCGTGTTGCTCAGCAGCGGCGCGAGCAGCGGGTCGGGCAGTGGCGCGTCGACGAGCAGCAGCACGTGCGCGGCGAGGACGAGGTCGAGCGACGTCGGGCTGCGAGTGTGTAAGCGTGCAGAGGGACGGAGGGGCACGTGCGCGACGTACCGGTCGTAGAAGAAATAACGCTTGTCGCCTAGCAGGCGCGCGTACAGGTCGAACGCTGCGCGCGCGCGCTCGAGTACCTACGGGTGCTACGTGAGCTGCACGAGCATCCCGCGCACACGCACACGCACGCACCCGCTCGCGCTCAAACGCGCTCTTGAACGTCCGCTTAGGGTCCTGCTTCTTCTCTTCCTTCTTATCTCCAAACTTGCGCGGCGCCGGCGCCTCCTCCTCGACCTCCTCTCCCGGCAGCGCCCACAGCCCGCTGGCCTCGAGCCGCGCCTGGTACGCCGCGCGCACGCGCGCAGGGACGTACAGCCGCTGCGGCGCGCCGTACAGCGCCGCGAGCGTGGGGCCCGTCAGCGCGTCGTAGTTCGCGGGGAGGGAGAAGAACACGTGTGCCTGCGCCGGTCAGGACCGGCGCGCGAGGAGAGGAGAGGAGGACGGGCGGCGCACCACGAGGTCGCCGAGCGCACGTTCGGCGTGTGCGAGCCATGCCGTACGCTGGGCGCGCTCCTGCGCGCTGAGCATCACGTCGACGTCCGCCGAGAACGGGTCATCGTCGTCGTTGTCCGTGGTACCGTCCTCACGTGCGACGCGCGGGACGGACGCGGGTGCGAGTCCCGCAACGTACCGCGCGACGGACGCGAACCCGCCGACGGCGTGGTGCCCGTGCGTCAGGTACGGCAGCTGCCCTGGTGCCGTCAGGCGCAGCTACGGAAGGCAGGGAGGGAAGAGGGGGCGCACCGGTCGGAGACGCGTCGGGGTCCGCGCAGGCCTGGAGCGCGAAGCGGCCGGGGAGGGCGAGCTGGAGGTAGAGCGCGGCGGCGAGGCTGGCGGGTTCGCGCGAGGGGAGGCCCCATGCGCCGGGCCAGATGTGCAGTGTTAGTGGTGGTGTTGTGCTCATCGTCGTCGTCGTCGTCGTTCGCGACAGAGTCGAGCGCGCGGACACGGTGAAGCCGTTGACGGTGAGGCGGAGCGGGTCAACAGACACGTGGAAGGGGATGATTAGCAAGGCACTATAGCCAAGTGGTTACGGCGACAGATTCGAACTAAACGTCTTATCTGTTTCCCTCTGGGAGCGCAGGTTCGAGTCCTGCTGGTGTCGCTTTTTTGTTCAGTCCAGTTTAAATCCTTCCACCGTTGATTGTATATACAGCTGGTACTTATTGGTGTGTTATGATACAAAAATATCCCCCGCGCGCACCTAGTACGCCAGCGTCTCCACCATCGCGTCCAAAATCCGAATTGGGTCCGGCAGGATGAACTTTTCGTACTGCAGCCCGATGGGCGTGCTACCGACACTCGTATCAGCACCGCACACGGGACGAGGATGACAAGGAACGGGGGCACGCACTCCCAGCCAGCGACGCGCCGCACCGGCGCGTGCAGGCTCAGAAACGCGCGCCGCTGCACCTCCGCCGCGATCTCCGCGCCCGCGCCGCCCGTCTGGCCCGCCTCGTGCACGACGACGAGCCGCCCCGTGCGCCGCACGCTCTCGAGCACCGTCTCCGCGTCCCACGGCAGCACCGTGCGCAGGTCGATCAGCTCAACGCGCGCGCCGCGGGCAGCCGCGGGCACGAGCGGCGCGAGCGCGGGCGGCGGCGCCTCCAGCAGCGACAGCGCCGTCTCGCAGTGGTACAGCGGCGTGCCCCACGCGAGCAGCGTCAGGTCTGCGCCGCTGCGCAGGACCTCCGCGCGCCCGAGCGGCAGCTCGTAGTCGTCGATCGGCACCTGCTCGACGGCGGAGCGGTAGAGGACCTTGGGCTCCATGAAGATCACCGGGTTCGGGTCGCGGATCGCCGCGAGCAGCAGGCCCTTGGCCTGGATCGGCGAGCGCGGGATGACGACCTGCGCGCGCGGGCCTCAGCGGTGGCGTGGCGTGGTTGGCGTCGTGGGGACGCACCTTGAGCCCGGACGCGCCCATGAAGAAGCCCTCGGGGCTCTGCGAGTGGTACAACCCGCCGTGGCCGACAGACATGGCCGGCGTGCGCACGGTGAGCCCGCCGACGTTGAACTGCCCGCCGCTGCGGTAGCGGAACTTGGCCGCCTCGTTCACGAGCTGCACGCGCGTCAGCCGCACGGCGCACGGGGGCGGGTGGCGCGCGGCGCGCACCTGGTCAAACGCGGGGTAGATGTAGTCCGAGAACTGGATCTCCGCGATGGCGGTGTGGCCCATCGCGGCGACGCCGATGCCGAAGCCCGCGATGCCCTGCTCGGACAGCGGCGTGTTGAAGACGCGCTCGCGGCCTGCCAAGCGCGCGTAAGTGTCAGGGCCGTGGCTTTAGGTCCGGCCGGGCGACGACGCACCAAACTCTTCTGCGAGGCCCTGCCGTGCGGGGTGTATCGGTTAGCGGGCGAACTGACAGTAGCGAGGGAGGACGACGTGCCATGGTGCAGCGAAAGACGCCGCCAAACGCGACGTCCTCGCCAAACACGATGGCGTTGTCGTCCTTCGCGAGCGCGATGCTGAGCGCCGCGCGCACATGAGCTACCAAGCAGACTGTGTGCACGACAGCGACGGCACCTCATCGCGTCGCGCACGGCCTGGTAGACGTTCATCTTGCGCGTCTCGCGGCCGCCGACGGTGTCCTGGAGCGGCCCGCGGGGGTCGTCCTCGAGCCAGCGGATGCCGGGCGCGCGGAGGGCGGCGTCGCGGGTGGTGCGGAGGAGCTTGGAGGTCGCGATGGAGGGCAGGTGGCCGCCTGCGGGCGGGGGCTCGGCGTCGGTCGACTCGCAGCGTCGTGCGCCAGGCGCGGTGCGCGGTCGCGAGGGGCGGAGGCGGCGAGCTGCGCGGGCGAACATGGTGAGCGAGGAGGAAGAAAGAGAGAGGGGATAAGATCCGGGCGAGCCTAGCGCGGACTTGACGGTTACAATTAACTACCACTGACTGCGGGTCGCTGCTGCCAGTGATCTCGACTAGCTCCTCGCTGTTCGCTACGTCGCCCCTCGCTGCTCGCCACGCCGCCCGCGATGGAGAGCGAGCTCACCTTTGTCGCGCCCGAGGGCGTCTACTCGGTCACCGAGGACCACAAGCCGATCCCCGTCACCCACAACGCGCCCACGCCGACCTACCCGACCCGCCTCTCCACCGCCACCGTCCGCTTCCCCGCGCCCAAGCCCGCCGCGCAGAGCCTCGGCCAGCTCCTCGGCGGCGGCAAGGACTTCTGGAAGGACAACGCCCGGGGCGCCGCGCACGACGGCGTCTCCGTCTCCAGCAGCGACACCCCCGACGACGCCGCCGCCGCGGCGTCAGGCTCCCCGCCGCCGGACCCGCCCCAGGACCGCGACGCCACGCCCCCGACGCCCGCAGCTGGCCCCGACCCCCCGCGCGGCCTCTTTGGCCCCCCCGCGGGCGCGCCGGGCGGCGGCGGGAAGCGCCGCCCGCTCACGCGCCCGAAGCACAACATGCGCACGACGTCGTCGACGTTCATCACGCGCCTGCAGAGCGCCGAGGGCCTCGCGCGCGCGCTCGCGGCCAAGCAGGGCGAGGTGACCTTTCTCTTCTACAACTCGGCGAAGAACTTTTACTGGGTCGAGGCCGGTGCGAAGGCCAAGGTGCGCCCGCCGCGGCGGAGGGTGCCGGTGCGCGGTGCTGACGGGCGGCGCGCACGCAGGAGCCGCTCGCGCGCGTCGCGTTTGCGGCGCACCCGACGTGCCACGACGTGAACAGGGCGACGCTCTCGCATGAGCACCTCGACGTGATCATCGGCTTCCACACGGGCGACCTCATCTGGTTCGGTGCGTGCGCCCGCCACGCGCCAGCATGCATCTCACCCCGCGCACACACGCACACGCAGACCCGATCAACTCGCGCTACGCACGGCTGAACAAGCAGGTGCGCCTCCCGCCTTGCGCTCTCCCTGCCCCGCTGACCGGGCCCGCGCGCAGGGCCGCATCACGAACTCGCCGTGCACCGCCGTGCGCTGGGTGCCGTCCTCGCCGAACCTGTTTCTCGTCTCGCACGCGGACGGCACGATCATCGTGTACGACAAGGACCGCGACGACGGCGCGTTCGTGCCCGGCGGCGGCAACGGCGAGTGGAATCCGCTCGACAGCGTCTTTGTCTCCATCCCGCCGTGGCACCCCGCGCACGCTGCCGGCGCGGGCGGGCGCGGCGACAAGGACAAGACGACGAAGAACCCGGTCAGCCACTGGCGCGTCGCGCGGCGCAGCATCGTTGGTGCGTGCCCGTGTCTCTCTGGGAATGGCGAGCCAGCTGACCGCGGCCGCGCCGCCGCAGACTTTGTATTCTCGCCCGACGTCAAGTACGTCGCGGCCATCTCGGAGGACGGGTGTCTGCGCGTGATCGACACGCTGGCGGAGCAGTGCGCACGCTCTCTCCCTCTGTGTGTCCCCATGCGCTGGCTGACTAGGACTCGGCGCCGCGAGGCTCGTCGACTGCTACGCCGCATACTTTGGCGCGCTCACTTGCGTCGCATGGTCGCCCGACGGCCGCTTCATCATTGTGCGTCCCGCGTCCCGCTGCCCGCGTCGAAAGCTGACGCGGACGCGTGTGCGCGGCAGACCGGCGGGCAGGACGACCTGGTGAACATCTTCTCGCCGTGGGAGCAGCGCGTGATCGCGCGCTGCCAGGGCCACTCGTCCTTCCTCTCCGCGCTCGCGTTCGACGACGTGCGCTGCGACGGCCGCACGTACCGCTTCGCGAGCGTCGGCGAGGACAACAAGCTCATCCTCGTGCGTCGTGCCGTCCCTCTCCCTCCTCGTCACTCTCACCCCCTGCAGTGGGACTTTTCGAGCGGCATCCTGCACCGCCCGAAGCTGCACGCGCACCACCACCGCCTCTCGGTCGCCTCGACACTCTCCCTTTCCGCGCGCCGCTCGCAGGCGCTCCCGCCCGACGCACCCGCGCCGCCCGCAGAGCGCTACCACCCCGCGCCGTCGCGCACCGAGGTGGCGATCGTGCAGCCGGTGCTCGTCAAGCCGCTCGAGGCGGACCTGCCGACCGCCGCGGCGTTCTTGCCGCGCTGGCTGCTGACCGCGACGCGCGCGGGGCATGTCAGGCTGTGGATCCGGCCGCTGTTGCCGCCTGCGGGGAGTCCGCGGCGCGGTGGGTCGGCGGCGGGCGGGCAGGATCCGGAGTGAGGGGTTGGGTCAGGTGCAAGCTGCAACTTGCTGGGACGGTTAGAGGTATCTATGTATCGCATAATTTATTCGAGGGCGGTCAGAGGCACACTCGGAGCGGGAAATGGGATGGTGTATGAGTGTCCATGCGCGCGCAGCGCTCGAGGCAAGTATTCTGAGCGCGAGGCGTGTGGTCGCCGCGCTCCATCTCCTGCAGCCGCCGCGATTATACACGCCACGTTAGTCGGGCGTGCGCGCTGGCCACAACTCACCGTCACATCTGCCCGCGTTACTCGTCGATCGAGCCCGCGTCGAGCTCGCCGTCGTCCGTCTCGTCAAAGTCGTCCGTCTCGGCCGTCGTGTTCGCGTCCAAGTCCTCCATGTCCGCGTCGAGGTCGAGGCCCTCGTCCTCGTCCGCGTCCTCGTCTCCCTCACCGTCTCCCTCGCCGTCGCCGTCGTCCGTCGGCGACTCGGGCCGCGACGAGCGCCCCGACTCGTCCACGTCGGAGCCCTCGTCTGCCTGTGCGGCGCGACCGCGTCAGCACCCGCGATGCGCGCGCGGACGGGCAGCACACGCACGTCGTTCTTCTCCTCGTGCTGCGTGAACATCTTCCCGATCGGCACGAGGAAGCCGTACCCGCGGTTCTTCACCTCGAGCGTCTGCATTGGCCGTCAGCACCCGTCTGCGCATGCGAGAGGAGAAGGAGAGGGCGGCGCACGGTGTCCTCGAGCTCGGCCTCCTCGTCGCTGAGGTCGTCCATCTCCTGCGCGAGGTCGCGCCGGAGGACGAGGCGCCCCGGCGGGCGCCCGGGGACCGCGAGCGGGAGCGGGTGCGGTTGGGGCGGGCGCGGCATGAGCATTGGGAAGAGCGGCGGGCGCGGGAGGACGGTCGGCGTCGCGACTGGCATGATGGACGCGGACAAGGAGGACGCGCGACGCGCCGGTCACGCGTCCGCCCCCGCTTGTTCCGCATCCACCACCTCGCCACACACCTCCGCGTGCCGCGCCATGCTCGCCCGCCTC